AAACAGCCCTGCAGGGCATGAAAGCAGCAGCAGGGCAGCAAGGCTGCCATGGATCCCTTCCTGCTGTGTTGGGCACTGCGTGTCCAGATGTGCAGAGAAAGCCCCCGGCTGCTGAGTCTCAGGAGAAGGCTGAGGGACGTGGACCCACCATGGCGTCTCTCCAGATCACTCAGCATCTTGTCTCCTGTAGGTTTGTTCCTCCCTCTAGGAGGACCTTAACAGAAAGTATTTCCATTTCAGATGAATGGATCCCACAGAACCAGGGCTCAGCCTGTGGGATCAGCAGGGACACACCACTCACCCCTGTGATGGGAGCTGGGCTTGCGTGCAGCAACCAGAAAAGGAGCTTGAAATGTCCGCGCTGCAGACACACCTGTAACTCAACAGCCACAGAAGCTTCTGTCATCTCTTCTGATCTGCACAGGCAGCACTGAGCCGTGGGGAGCAGTGAGGGGATTTCACAGGGCGAGGGCACACACGTGCATAGCTCTGTCCTGACACCTGCAGTGATGCTGCCCTGGCCGAGCTTTGGGCTCTCCCAGGGGGAAAGGCCTTCACCTACCCTCACCATCTTCCAGAGCATTCGTCCTGGGTGTGGGTTGAGAAGCTGCATCACGTGCACCAAGAGGCTTGGCTGCAAAGAAAGGCAGGACATATCAGCTCCCATGGCACTGTAGGAGGATCCTCAGGCTCTCTGGGGCCAGTAAAGGAACTGTGCAAGGCACAGCCCCGGGACACAGCCCTGGGCCCGGCCCCTTCCCTCTCTAATCTTCTCTATGGCTGCACAGCACACAGGGAAGGAGACACTGGCATTGCACATGGGAAGAAGACTGATGCCTAAATTCACCTTCCTCACACTGACAGTGACCTGTGGGATCCCTCAGGCCTGAGATTATTTTAAGAGATATGGCACATGAGTGAGCTCTTGCCACCTTGTCGTTTTGTGTTCTGTCAGTAAAGGGAATAGAAGAACTTGCCTCCAGCATTCTCCAAGATATTCAAAGTATCATTCAGTAGCACTTCCAAATAATTGAGGTTGTATTCCAAATCTAGAAGGGAGCACAGATCAGAACTGTTTCCATGGTGTTCCAAGATCCCCTTCTACCTTAGGGAACCGGGCAGTGCAAAGGAGCCGTGCTAAGGCTGTGGGTGCCAGATGTCAGTGGACATGGCCACAGCTGCAGAGGGGCCTGGGGGCTCTGGGCTGGCTCCTGGTCACTCTCCACCCTCTTTGCAGGCCCTGTGCAGCATTCCTGGGAGAGGTTGCTGCAGCAGCCCAGGCCCCACTGGGGCCCTCTCTCTGCCACAGCTGAAAGAATTGTAAAAGCAATGGGGAAGAACTACAGCAGGCAGTGCCACAGCTGT